GACTGCGGCGGTAACTTTATGGTCAGGAAGCCACAAATATTTACAGTTCAAGTTCAAGTATGTTTATTGAGACAAGAAAAAAATACATCTCAAAGGGATAGAGTAACTTAGGCTATTTCTACCCCCTCTACTTCAAGTCCCTCAAGGGGCGTACAAATTCAGTAAGTACAAATAGACAATTAACATTACAAGAATCCCATTTAACATTGCAGGTTAATATAGTAAGTACAGCATACAATTGTTACACTCTTGGGGCAAAATTTTTGTAGCTCCTAAGTATACTGTCTATCATACCATTATCACACATACAAACAATTTGATGTGGTACATTACTTATTTCCTTATTTCTATAGTTATCAATAAGTTGACACTCTAATACATAATGTTCTAAGGTGTGGGCGTGCGGCATACTACATAATTTACACTCCTTATCTTTTTCACTGACATCAACTCCGTATTGCCAAATATATTTGTATCCTAATCTTAATCTCATGTAAATTGAATCCTTCCAAGTTGACTTTCCTTTATCATAGGTGAAGGACGAGTTTGTATTTATTACTGAATAATTCTTAAGTGTGTTACTACTATCCACTATTGCCATTCTTTTTATCATTTCTTCATCTTCATTTCCTCTTATTAATGTTATATATACATGTACACATAATCATACATACATGTACATATATATACATATGAGGTAAATCCAGAGAAATGAAATATGGATTTTTCCGCATACAAATGATTATTGTTTCGTGATCGTCAATTGCATATATACATATACATACATATACATTCACATACATATTCAATCACCCACACAAATACACACATCAATAATCTTTGTATCACAAGTGATTCAACAAGAGGCTCACAAGTCACTATACTAGGCACTTAATTTACATCTATGGTGAGTCGTCCAATTACTAGTCTTGCTCTACACCCACCCAACTGGGCGGCAGCTTTACAGTCATGTGCTCCACACCCACCCAACTGGGCGGCAGCTTTACAGTCATGTGCTCCACACCCACCCAACTGGGCGGCAGCTTTACAGTCATGTGCTCCACACCCACCCAACTGGGCGGCAGCTTAACAGTCATGTGCTCCACACCCACCCAACTGGGCGGCAGCTTAACAGTCATGTGCTCCACACCCACCCAACTGGGCGGCAGCTTTATAGTCATGTGCTCCACACCCACCCAACTGGGCGGCAGCTTAACAGTCATGTGCTCCACACCCACCCAACTGGGCGGTAGCTTAACAGTCATGTGCTCCACACCCACCCAACTGGGCGGCAGCTTAACAGTCATGTGCTCCACACCCACCCAACTGGGCGGTAGCTTAACAGTCATGTGCTCCACACCCACCCAACTGGGCGGCAGCTTAACAGTCATGTGCTCCACACCCACCCAACTGGGCGGCAGCTTTATAGTCATGTGCTCCACACCCACCCAACTGGGCGGCAGCTTAACAGTCATGTGCTCCACACCCACCCAACTGGGCGGCAGCTTTACAGTCATGTGCTCCACACCCACCCAACTGGGCGGCAGCTTTACAGTTATGTGCTCCACACCCACCCAACTGGGCGGTAGTTTAACAGTCATGTGCTCCACACCCACCCAACTGGGCGGCAGCTTAACAGTCATGTGCTCCACACCCTCCCAACTGGGCGGCAGCTTTATAGTCATGTGCTCCACACCCACCCAACTGGGCGGCAGCTTAACAGTCATGTGCTCCACACCCACCCAACTGGGCGGCAGCTTAACAGTCATGTGCTCCACACCCACCCAAATGGGCGGCAGCTTTACAGTCATGTGCTCCACACCCACCTAACTGGGCGGCAGCTTAACAGTCATGTGCTCCACACCCACCCAACTGGGCGACGGCTTTACAATCATTTGCATGAATTACTTACAGTAAGCAAATTTTAGATACTTCGCTAAGATTTCGGGCAGCACATCATTATAAATGAAGTACTTACACTTTTCTTGGACACCAATGATGGTGTTATCTCTGAATTCCGCGATTTTTTTTAAATTCCAGTACTGTATATAATGACGCAAAGTATGCGAATAGTTCTGCAATAGTGATACTATCCTGCGTCATAATTTACATACATATCTACTTCTGTTTTGTGTATTAAAATTACTACATTTTTATGTTAATTTATTTCTGTAAATGATGATGATGATAAATTTCAATAAATGTAAGTAAGAACATAAGAACGGAAACTGGTCGCGTAAATGGAAATGGTTGGGTACATTTCCTTTCACCTACCTAATGCGAATATTCATGTGTCCGGACACTGGCGATGGTGTAATATTGCCTATTTATTTGACCATGTCTTTGCTTTCATTTAAGATATGTTTTCCTTGAAATGTATTTACATTATCGTCTACATCTGTCTTTATTCTGAAATAAAAACCTTTGACGTTACTTTGCATATATGTACATTAATTATAAAATTGATTGGCTTGTGTGCAGGCCTTCACACTCCCTGAGCGAGCCATCAAGTAACTATAAAAAGGCATATATCTTCACTTTCACTTCAGTTATATTTATACCAAAGTATTAACATGCAGCTTATATGTCTTTCTGATGACATAAAAAACTTCGTTTTTTACAATATATAGATTCAATTAACATTGGTCTTCGGAAGGTCATAGTTCCCATATCGGTAAGGAGAGCGTCGGCCAAGAAGCCTTGTTTAAAATATGAATATTTTTCCTCTCTAATAAGGTATAATCTCTGTGATGCATTAACACAAACTATTTTATATCTGCCTTTCTGATAACATATATAAATATAATCTTTATTTGTGAATATTTGTTAATTAAGCAATATATCAGAGAGCGTGTAGGGTTCGGTGTTCTATGAACGAAAAGGACTGGAGTAGTTTAAATAGCGAACGCATACCAACGAATAACGCTAGTATCTATATAACAAATTTATTGTCATGTGGAATTGATTTAACTTCCAGACACTTTTTTTTAATAAATATTAAATATTTTGTGGCTGTTTATGAAAAATATTATTATAAATACACATTCTACTTGTTAATATTACCAATTAAATTTGCGACAATTTGAGCCATGAAATACGACGACTGGATCACTGTGTACAGGAGGCTGTTATGGCAGCAAACACTCTCCAGGCGACCATATATCTTGGATAAGTCGCTCCACACAATTGTCGCTTGGACCGTCGACTTCCTATGGCGTCACCTCTCACATATTTACGTCTCATTTCGTTATGAAATTAGATTATTTCAGAGTAAAAATAGGTTTGATCATGTTCTACGTGTAGCACCAACATTATAGTAAGTAAATATACCATATTTCTTCATTACTTACGTAATGCTAATACGATTTGGGTAGTTTTGGCCTGATTTGGGTCGATTTGGGTAATTCTATGGACCCACACAACGAGGTCAATGATGTCATCAAGAGGAGCCTCGTCTCAGCTCAGTGCCCAGCGGAGAGAAAACCTCGCATCCTAGGGGACCAAAACCCGAATGACCCAGCACTTCGCCCTGATGGCATCACTATATACCCTTGGAAAAGGGGCAGACAGCTGGTGTAGGACTATACGTGCGTATCCACCCTGGCTGACATACGCTTCGATGCTGATCAAGCAGGTGGGGCGGCCAACTACAGGGAAATACCAAAATCACTCTGATGTGAAGCGGCTGCGGAGGAGGGTGAACAGGGGTCGCCGAGTCTGCGCGCCACTTTTAAGAACCCCCGCTCTGTGTGCGCACAGCTTAGACGGTTAGACGCAACTCTTAGAAATACGTTTTCTTCTCACAGAAAACCCACCGCTTTTGGGAAAAGCAGTGGCTATTTCCCATAGTGTCTGAGACGCATGGCCCTTGGGGTAAGAGTTCCTTGGGATTTCTCAAGGAATTGGGTATTCCATAACCTTCAAATACATAATAAAGCACAAAAAAATACACAAAAAGAAGGGGGTGGTAGGATGTATAAAAAAATAAGGGGAAAGTGCCAAGCCATTACGACTTTACAGCACTTGGAAGGGGTCAGGATAAGGATTTGGGGATGAGACGGAGGGGAAGGAATGGTTCCCCTATCACTTGAACGGCGGTCGGGGATTGAAGAAAAGCACAGAAATTGTATTGGAGGGGACCTAAACATTCCCTCCAATGCGTTATGCGTGGTTTACTCCGAGGCTAAGGTCCCCTTCTACCAGCCAGAGGTGATACTCCCTTCCCTTTTTGATCTTTTAAAAAAGTTGATTGCATCGAGAGACCGGATGGAGTCATGCAAACTGCACGTGCCATCAAGTAGAATAACTACTGGAGTGACTGAAATTGAAAATTAAATTTAAATAAGTTTATTGACTCTAGTATCCCTTCAAAACACATAAATCATTTGCCTTTTACTGGAGTGATTGACGTGACACATAGAGACCTGTGCTGGAGCTGCCCCCAGCCCAGCAACAATAATGTTCCGAACCTTAATGGAATCTGACCCATATATCAATCAGGTCAACCCATGTGTTGCGTTTCCAAAAGGGTCGCCCATGTTAGAATCGGTGAACGCCCTAGTAATATTGTTGAAAACATCTTAATAACTTATTAAACCAAAGGTCTTTTTATGTCAGAAGAACGGCAGAAACTAGATCTATATATGAAAACTCTTTCAGGACAAAATTTAAAGTAAAACTAAAGATATTTGTAGTTGTATAAAAGTTGCATTTTTCATCGGTCGTAGAGCCGGAAATCCGCAATATTCATCTCAGAACAATGCTTATTTCACGCAGAATCGTTAATAAACGTAAGATTTTTATACGTCTCAAGAAAGATAGAAACATAAATTTACTTTAATCTAGTTTTACATAATCTAGTTTTACTTTAAATTTTGTCCTGAAAGAGTTTTCATATATAGATCTAGTTTCTGCCGTTCTTCTGACATAAAAAGACCTTTGGTTTAATAAGTTATTAAGATGTTTTCAACAATATTACTAGGGCGTTCACCGATTCCAACATGGGCGACCCTTTTGGAAACGCATGGAAACGCAACACTTGGGTTGACCCGATTGACAGACTGGTTATATTCCAACAGGGTCTGAGACAATAACAAGAGAGGGACCATAACAACAACAACTGGATGACAGCCGCACGTATCGTCAACCTTCACCCAACCAACATATTGATAAGAGAAAGGATCACAACACGAGTTTATGGAAGTCCGACATGTTATTTGGTAAAGCTAGTTTGTTATTTTATTGTTGGATTAAATTTAAATGTTGTGTAGGCTTACAATTACGGGAGGTTTTGGATGAAGTAAAACACTGACCGAAACGCTATGCTTGCTAGTGGCTTTACAAGAATGTAAAACTTCAAGTGTCAATTGCTTAATTTAGAACCTGTACTTGAGGTCGATCTCGAACCCATTGTTGATATGACGACTTATATTGAATTTTGTAACTAGCTCATCAAGATTGTAACTTGCTTAGCTAAATGAATTGTGGGGTTCAGTCCCTGAGCCCATTATGTGCCTCTGTAACCCTTTCCACTACCGCCCACAAGATAGGTATGGGGTGCATAATAAATGAACTAAACTAAACTAACTAACAAACTTCAAGTCTCTACTCTCATAAACCCAATGTACCTTATTGTATATAAATAAGTAAATAAATAAAGTATCACAGGATTTGTTTATTCTTTATATAAGTGTATGTGAGTCTAAGACAGGGGTTGATGTTAGGGACACTGCAGAGCCTATATCACCAGTATATAGTTTCATGGAAATTGTACAGCTTAGCCTAACAACCTCGCACTGCATATTGGTGTGTGGTAAGTTCGTACACAAGTCATTTCGACACAGATCATTTTATGATTGTCTAAACCATATGCATTGTTAGATTGGGATGTATTTAATTATATTCCATTAGGTTGGTTTGAGTTAGGTTAAGTTTTAAAATCTGTTGGGGAGCCATATGTGTACAGTGTGACACATGTCTTGTATGTTCGCCAGATACAATTCACATTGTATACAAGGCAGTTCACCAACGGATTTTAAAACCTTCCTAACCTTACCCATCCTAATCTAATTTTACCCAAAATAACCTAACCTAACTAAGCCCAATCTTTAACTAATGCATCCTAACATAACAATGTATATGCAGTTTTGACAATCGGAAAATTATTTGCTCATACCCAATATTTACATTGGCAAAAGCACCACAAAACTTAGTTGATTTTTGTTTTGTTCAACTGGTTTCCATAGGTCAATCCTCTTACTGAAAGTTTAAAAAAATAATGCAGCACTCGCCAAGAAATCCAATAAGTACATCCATATCAAAATGCTTGCTGGCCTAACATTTAATAACAATTATAATTATTCTTTACATATCTTAATGTTTGTTGGTGTACAGGAAATATGAGGTCATGGGATATCAGGTCAAGTCACCCATTTTAAATGTAAATCAGTAAAATGAGAAATGTAGAAGTAAAAGATTTTTTTAATTTTGAACAACTGCTTTCTTAACAATACCTTATGGAACAACGCAGAAAAACAATGTATGGGTCATAGTACAGTTGGCTTCATTTTTTATTCATAATCGAGTATCCTGGGTTTGAGCAGAAATGGTTGGTCCTGTTTCCTTTCACTTAATTCCTCTGTTTATCTAGCAATAAATAGATACTTGGGAGTTAGGCAACTGTTGTAGGGTTGCATCCCATGGAAGGTCAGTAGTTCAACCCATCCTAATAGAATGTCGCATTTTGATGTATACTCTACCTAAGGTCATAAATGTTCATACTAGAAAATGGTAACAGCTCACAAACTTGACATACTGTCCCGTTTTCTGTTTTGGGTCCTCTGGTATGTTAGGATAAGTGGATTTTAGTATGGCAATTTCTTGATGTTTTGAAACCTTAGGAGAATGGGCTGAGTAGTTTGACCTTGATGGGACCTCAATATAAGCTTAAAGTGTATGAATGTATGTAAAAGAGAGAGAGAGAGAGGAGAAGCCACTCAGCCAGCCAACACCCACCCATCTCTTCTCTTTCTTATGTTCCATTTAGCTACACTTCTCAAAATTTTCTGATAGTGTAAATGAGGTTAGGGTAGATTCTTTATTATTTAATGTTATGAAGGTGATGGAAAGACCCAATATATGTGTAAATGTATTAAAAACCAAATTTTTGCATGTAACCTACATCCTTCCTCAAGGTACTGTATATAATGTTCTGAAAAAGATTCTAGGAGTTTGCATTTATATATCTGGCAGAGCGCCTTACTTGGCGTCTATCATTAGATGTCGTTGTGATTATGCTTCCCCATCTAATGACATCTAATGATGGATGCCAAGTGAGGTGCTTTGCCAGATTTATAAATGCAAACTCCTAGAATCTTTGTTCAGGACATTGTATATTGTACCTTGAGAATGGATGTAGGTTACATCCAAAAATGTGGTTTTTAATACATCTACACATATCAATTGAATGAAGGTCTTTCCTTCACTTCCATTCAAGCACTATGGCATTGTAGTATGTTTCTCCATTTAATGCTATGTTATTAGACTATGGTTATTTTTGGTTGGAGTGATTTGGAAAAGAGGCAATGACCTGAAATGAAACCAGAGTATGACAATATTTAGCAATTTGGCAATATGACCAGAACTAGGGTGGTCATATAGGGATACAGTACAATAAAAAAAAATGGAAATAAAAAATAAAAAGGAAAAATAAATAAAAGCATAAACTTGATAAAAAGGAAAATCCCAAGCAGTGTGAAGTATTAACTTTCGTATCTAGCCTATATCCAAATAGTGTAGCCACCCATGGGTCTTTGGGTTATATAGGGTAAGGTTGCCAATCTGATGACAAATTCCACTTGCTTCACACATTTCCTTTTACTATTTATATATACAAAACCTTATTCTTCAATACTTATCATGATTTGAATCTCTCCCAAGATGGATGTAATAGAACGCATGAACATCACAACTTGAAAAAGGAACTCTAGCGACAGGTTGTCAAGTTGAATAAGACTTTAGGCTTACATATTAGGGAGGCTAAAAAAAATACACATGAAATACTGAAACAAATGCTCACACTGTCCCCTGCAGATCAAAGTCCAAAAGGATAGATAATACTAGGCTACATGGAAAGCAGGAAAAGCAAACAGGTCACTAAGAGATGCTGTCTCAGCTACACTGGGCACATGACTGAGGTGGGCAGCCATCGGGGGGTCGGGTAATGAGCAGTGATATTGTGTTGTGTCAGGCTTGCCAATGTTTTCATGCAGTTGCTTGATTTGGGCACAATATCTCTGGTGGTTTTTCTTTTTTTCCTGGGTTGATCTAGTATTTTCACATTCCCTTGCCTCTATTGAGAGGGCCAAATTCAGATGCTGGTGTCCTGTAGCCACTCAAGGCACACAGGGACCTGGTGCAGTACTTTAGGCTTGGAGCTAACCAGATGGATAACTTGGTTAACAGGCCTACCAGATTGAGGCATTTCATAACATTTAATGCTGGATTTCTGGGAGAGCCCCCCTCCACTTGGTGGCACCCCACACTACCTACCTGAACCCCTCCAAATCTTAGGTACCACATAGGGCTCCAACAAATCAAGAGTGCCTACTGGAGACCAGTACCAGAATCTGAAACCCTCAATAGTGGTATAGTCTCCCAGATTCAATAATCTGGGAGACCATGATTATCTGAGGCTCCAGTCACCCATATCACTCAAACACTGCCCAGAATCTTGACCCATCAATATCACCTGAAGGAGGGCAAGACATGAACAGTGAGCCATCAAGGGACTCACCAAGAAAAGGCATTTCATTACATTCAATTCTGGATTTGTTAATTTTTATTCTTTAAATGGGTAAATTTTTAATTTGAAGTAATTTTGTTTTTGTTTTTTAAAAAAGCAATACAGTGAAACCACTAAAGCATTTTTATTAGTTTTTAATCTTTAATAACTTAATAAAAAACTTTTAGAGAATATTTAATTAAAATACTTCACTCTTATAGAACTGTATTGTAATACTGTACATTCATCTTCAGCATGGTATCTGATTTCTTCTATCCTAATGTTGGCGGAGTTGAGGAGCACATCTTTCAGTTATCACAGTGCCTGCTTCGCCGTGGCCACAAAGTCATTGTTCTCACTCATATATATAATGATCGAAGAGGAATCCGGTACATGACCAATGGACTCAAGGTAACACATTTTTTAGTTCATAACTATTGTACCACAATTAGGCATCTCTGGTAGAAATATCCTTGTTTTCTCAGTAGTATTAAACATTCTACTTGAAACATTTCTCTTTGAAACCTTATGTGTGTAAGTAATGATAAGATGATAGCTCTTTCACATTGGAGTCTAGTGTTATCCTGGTGCAGATTTTGAGACCTTAATAGCCCATCATCGGGAAAAAAGGAGTCAAGACCTTGAACCTATACTTAATACAGTAATCTGAATTATACGGAGCCCCCCCCCCCCATTCAAGTTAACCAAATTTCTGGAGGAAGCCCCTACAGCTCCCCAGAGCTATCCATGGCTGATATGGATACCCTAACTATTTTGCATCAGTCGATGTGGGTGGAGTTCTAGCCTACCAGGGACCACAAGCCAGAACCTGGCCCCCTCACAGAGGCATGGGGAGCATTGGCCCATAGAAATGCACATGTGATTTGGAGCATTCTATATCTGCCATCGACCGGGACAGGCACCAAGAAAGGTATGCACCACAAAACAAACTCCTATTCTGGTTAACAACGAAAATTGTCAAACGAGTGGACAGAACTCCACAAAAGAAAATCGAGCAAACAAGCATGATGTCACATGAGTCGTGCCACATGTCTGCGCAGCTCTCCCCCTCCCCGGGAGGAAGAAGGGGGAGCCCCAAACTCTCGTGCCGGCGATACCCGCCCCAGTTTCTCGGCTGATGGGATCATGCGTGGTTGTGTGACTCCAGCTCCAGTCTTGTCTCAGTGCTGTTCATTGTTTTCAGTGCTGCTCTTACAGTGGTCGTGTGAGCTGGGAGTGCTGTCTCCACTTGATTATCCAGACTATATGGGAAGGACCCCCAGCCGGATAATCACGTGTTCCGGATAAGAGTACTTTTTCACCTCCGAGTCCAAAAGGGACTATTTCCAACAAATTTTTATACCACACATGATTTGAAGTGTGTAGGGCTGGGTGGGTGGTTAGCTGCCTAGCTGGCAGGTGGGTGGGTAGGTGGGTGGGCGGGCAGGGATAGGTGGGTTCAAGCAGGTGAGCAGGCAGGTGGGTAAACAGATGGGTGGGCTATCAGGCAGGTGGGTGAACAGGTGGGTGGGTGGATTGGCAGGTGGGAAGTGGGCATGCAGGCCAGTGGGGTAAACAGGTGGGTGAACAGGTGGGTGGGTGGGTGAGCAGGCAGGTGGGTGTGCAGGTAGGTAGGTGAACATGTGGGTGGGCAATCAGGCAGGTGGTTGGGCGAGCAGGCAGGTGGGTGGATTGGAAGGTGGGTAAGTGGGCGTGCAGGCAGGTGGGTGTTTAACGATTTTCATTGTTAATCAGAATAGGGGGTTTGTTTTGTGGCGCTTACCTTTCTGGGTGCCTGTCCCGGTCGATGGCAGATATAGAATGCTCCAAATCACATGTGCATTTCTATGTGCTATTGCTCCCCATGCCTCTGTGAGGGGGCCAGGTTCTGGCTCTTGGTCCCCGGTAGGTTAGAACTCCACCCACATCGACTGATGCAAAATAGTTAGGGTATCCATATCAGCCATGGATAGCTCCGGGGAGCCTCCGGGACTCACCCAGAAAATGGTGTTTCATTACATTCAACGCTGGTTTTTTGTTTTCTATTAAAACTACTAGAATGCATGTTTCTGGGAGAAGCCTTTTTTCAAGTGAAAAATGTTGGAATTTGGCCAGCCACCTTTCTCCAGTTACATAGGGTCACTATTGAGCCCAACCCTCTCATGGTTGGACCAATAGAACAGACCAATAAGACTGATCTCAACCAGCCTATATCCTTCCCATACCCAAGACAATTCATCCTGCATAGTTGGGTGAGGCTAACACCAAGTCTCCAACCATGGATTGTTAACCACCGTGCTGCACTGCATTAAAATATGACATCCCCCGTGGTGCGCCGAAAATAAATTATTTCCAAAAAATTATTTTCTCTTTTATTTAGTATTGTTAAAATGCAGTCTCTGATGACATGGGGAAACTAAAATAAAATATTGGATGTGACATACTTTAGCCTGGATGAGAAGTTGTGAGCAAATTATGGGCGCTGAGTGATGAGGCGCTCAGGGAAGCACTCGACCAACTGCCACCCCATGGGGCGGCAGTTGCCGCGAATACAAATTTTCACAATTATTTTAATGTTTCTCATTTGTTTCTTCTTTGGTTTTTTGCTTTAATATTATTCAAAAGTGCATAATTTGTGGAATTTCTATACAGTAGTTCAATGTGTGGAACATTACTATACTCAAAATTATGGGGCTCATATATGTGACATGTATATTATCTTCTACGACCAGTCAAATGGTGGTTTTGCTGTTATTACATTATATACACACATGTTGTATATAGCTATCTACATGTTTGTGCACTATAATAACCCACAAAGATCGTGTGTTGAGAGTTTATATACACAGAACAACAATCCAAGGTCAGCCTAGCGGCCGAGTGCGGCAGGGGCTGCCCCAAATACATTTTTACGTAATTATTTCGGTGTCTGTGAATGGTTTATATCTAGTTTTTTTGCAGTAATATTACTCAATAGTGTTTAATATATGGAATGTACAGTATATAGTTAAATGTGTGGAACTTCACTATTCTCAAAAATATGGAGCTCATATATGGTGACACATATATTATATTCTTAGATCAACCAAACAGTGTTCCTGTTGTTATTATGCTATATATATGCATGTTATATATCACTATTAACATTTTTATGCACCATAACATACTAATAAGCAGTTTGGTGGGTATGGTGATGAAATCAAAATACAGCATGGAGTCACAAGCAGACATCAGCAGTGATATGATGCAAGACAGTGCCTCCAATATTCTACTCATCTTGCTGTGACTAGCTACACAACCACCATTATTATCACATTCCTGTCACAAAATCCCGAATATGAATCCATTTCCATGACAAACTGAACATTGGTGATGGAACATAAGGTTGTTTCATGATGCATAGATGCAGGAAAGAATAGCTGGGGTGCTGAGTCTCTCTACCTCATGCTGTGAATATCATAACTAACATTGTGTTCACTGATATCTGAACATTGTACATAGTCTTTATCACAGTCAGGATCATCTATAACACTATCAATGCAAAATAATTTCAGTTACCTATTTTATTCATCATTACTAAGTGGTGCTGTGGCCCCTAGCTGCACAGTGGTGCTGTGTGCGGCTCCTGCATGCGCCAGCCTTGGTCGCTCTCTCAGTACTAAGGCTCTCACAGCCAGCACGGATGCTGACGATTTTTTTCAAGATGGCATCTGTTTACAGGAGTCCTGAGGCACAGGATGTGAGCCCCGTGTACCTGCAGGAGTTTTGAATCGCTCCCTATACCTAAAAGCTCCATATGGCGCTCTGTGCACCCCTACTGATCCAGTACAGGCCTATTGTCAAGGAATTGGGCTCTGCACAGTGCAGCACACCTTGGTTAAACTAGGATGATGTCATCATGTCGCTGCGCCGCTGTCTGCACAACCCCCCTCCCTCCCCGGGAGAGGAAGGGGGAACCCCAGACCCCCTTGAGCTGGCGATCCAACCGGCAGTTCTTGGCCGATGTGATACTGGCAGGTCGGGTGCCTCTGGCTCCTGCTTTGGTTTCAGTTTCTGTGCCTTGTCTCTACATGTGGTGTGTGAGCCAGGAGTAATATTCTACAGTACTCGTGCTGCATGCACCTAGGGTTTCCTTCCCTAGGTGCCCAGTAAGTACTGCCCTTGGGGCTTGGGGCCACCTTCCACAAGTCTCCTTGGGATCTACCTCCGCTGTGTCTTTTACTGCTCAGTATTTGGCTGCCCTTACAGTCAGCTGGGGTTTCTGTTGCCCTTGTTTGCCTCTGGGTAGGAGATAGTTCTCATCATTGGTAGGGGCACAGGGTGTTGCACAGCTAGTTCTCACCTCTTATAGCGGCCGGCTCTGTTCTGCCGGGGTACGTTGTCCTCTTGCGAGGTTTTTTTTTTGTTTTTGTTTTCTGTCTGGTGGTGGTGGGGGGGGTCTGCCTTTGCTTGGTTGCCACCTCTCTGTCTTTAGGGTCTTTCGTTAGACAATTCTGTGTTCTTGGTGGTATCCCCTGCTAGGCCCCCGTGAGTTGACACATCCCGGGGTTCAGCTTTTAGAAGTTTGCTTGGTAGTTTTGGGCGCTGGTTCGCAGTACCCTGCCTGGGCTTCCGTTAGCATGTTGCCAAGGCTAAGGGGCCTGGGAAACCCCGTGGGGACTCCGTGGTTTGATGGATGTGACCCTCGAGTCCCCTCTCGCTTTGTGTGAGGTTGATGGCTGCTCTGTCTCCTTGTCTCAGTGGTTATGTGGTTAATTCATTGGTTATGCCTTTACTATGTTGCCTGTAGGGTCGGTGGTTCTTTTGATCTGGAGTCGTGCGACATTATTGTTCATGCGTGTTCCTGTTCACTCTCGCTTTTGATCATGATCTGAGGGTGCAGGCAGCAGCTGCGTTGCATGCTGGCCTCTGTTCTTGCAACGCGATGAGTTGGTTGCTTCCCCGGATGCCTCAAGACTGTCCTGTTTTGGTTTTCGAGACCCTGGTGGGAGTCGCTTCATTTTGGTATCTTCCGCTCTTTCTTTCCCTTCTGTTGTGCATCCAGTCCCCCCCCCTCCCTGGCTTCTGGCCCCAAGCCATCAGTTGGTTTGGGGGCAGGAAGGGGGTCTAGTTGGTGTTGAGACTTGGGCAGTTTCGGGGGTGGTTGCAGAGGTATTCGAGCTTGTTCCTCCTGCCGATGCGTATGGGTCTGACCAGTGGGCCTCCTTCCTTCGTGTTTTTCAACTACCCCGGCTTTTGCTTATGCGGACTGGATTTTGGGGACAGCTCGTCTCCTGGTCCTCGGTGTGAGGTTCCTAGGACGGGGAGGGGTTGACTTGGGGGCTTTGGGCCCCATTGGACCCCGCCTGTGTTTTTGTACTCTCGGAGCAGGGCTTGCTGTTACACAGATCGGGGCTCCCTCCACATACGACTTGGATTTGGCATCTACCGGTACCCGGGTTTGGTTCCATGTTACCCTGGGTTCCTCGGTCTGACTTTCCGGAGGTTTTTGGCATCCCGCATCCCTTCTCATGTGGTGCGGGTAGCCCTTGCGGCTTACCTCCTGCGCGACTCGAATTATGCTATCGTGTATGGATCTTCGTGTCGTATCGGGTTCGTTATGAGTTTCGGAGTCATCCTGGTTGGCAAACTGCCCGCTCTTTTCGATGGAGGCTTGGCATACGTTCTGCTGGTCCCAATCGTTTGTGTGGGGGAGACTCAGATGGCTTTGTAGGTTCCTGGGGGACGACTTTGAGCATATCCATGCATATTGTTATCCCCTGCCCTTCCGTGGGATGTTTGTCTGGTGCAGGTTCTTTCCCTTTCGGCTGCCTTGGTCGTGGAGAACTTGTATACACGTGGCCTGCCCTGCGTTCTTCTCCCTCCTCGAGCTGTCCTTGGATTGGTTTGAATTGGATGTGGAGGTGCTTGGGGCTGCCTCTGGGTCTGGTGCATTGCACTTGGCAGTGTGCGCGTCATCAGCATTGTTGACACTGTTCAGGCCACTCCTATGGGATGCGGTTTCGCACTTTTTTGCTTCTCGACTCGCGTGTTGGCAGGTGGTGCTTGTTTCTTCCTTGGATTTTGCTTGGGCCCTGGCTCTTAGGTTGTCTTCGCCTCTTTGTCTGCTGCTGTTTGCCGAGTCTGCGGTTGTGTAGTATCTGCAGGCGGCTTTGGTTAGTTGCCGTCTTCTGTTCGACTTGTTGGTTCTCCAGGGGACTCGTGGCAGGCCTTCTCGGAAGGGTCGTGCCATAGCTCGGGGGTTCTTCCTGTTGTGGTGGGCCAGTGGTGCCTGCTTCGGGGCAGGCGCTGCTTTCGGTTCCGTCTTTTTCTGGTCGGCGCGAGGATTGCCCTGTGCGCCACTTGGGTTCTCGTCAGGTGTGTCGGCCCTTTCATGGTTTGTCCCCTTGACGTGGCGATGGGGGGGGGGGGAGAGGCTTGTTCTGTTCACTCGCACCTGGTTCGATGATTTGTGGGGCTTTCGGGTCGTATCATGCGGCCTGCGGTGGCGTTGGGTGGTGGCTCCTCCTTCAGGGGGTTCAGGACTGGCGGGGCAGGCCTCTTCTCCTACGCTCTGTCACGTCATCTCAGCGTTGATTCACTTGGGCGTGGTCGAAACGTCCTTGTCTCTTAGGTGGGTTCCTGCCTGTTTCCAATCCCGAAACGGGCCTGAGCAAACCTCTGGTTCATTCTGGACTTGTTATGTTTGAACCTGTGGGTTATTGCTCGTCCTTTCGGATGACTCTTCTGTCTCCATATTGGCTCGTCACGGTGCATCCAGGGTTCTAGGACTGGCTCAGTTTTCTTGTGGGGCATCAGGGTTGCCGCTTTTGTCGCCTTCCATTCGGCTTGAATCTGTGCCTCTCGTTTTCACACGCCTTACTCAGGTCGTGGTGACTCGCTTGCATCTGTTAAGTGTTCGGGTTCTGGCCTCCCTCGAAGACTGGCTGGTTTGGACTCCATGCCAGTCCCCGTGTCTGTTTGCCAGGGTTTTGGTTCTTTCCCAGCTCACCAGGTTCGGTTTCCTGGGGTCCTGGCGGATGTCCCATCTGGTTCTTTGCCTGATCGTGGGGGTACTGTGCGGTCCTTGGCTCTTTGCGACTGGTTGCTTCGGGTGACTCATCTGATGAGTTCTCGTGATTTGGCTATTCTGATGCTTCCTTTTTGGGGGGTGTCCTAAGTCCTGGCTGGCTTGGTGGCTTACCAGAGGAGAGTTGTCCTTCTGGCTCCTTGGTGGCCAGCCCAACTTTGGTTTCCAGCGCTGCTTGCTCGGTGTCCGAACCTGAGGGTCTTCCCACAGCTCCGCCTCTTTCTGCAGATCGGTCGAGCCCGGTACGGGGCTGGTTCGTTCTTATCCTCAAGTCTTCGCATCTGGGGTTTTTGTCTCGAGTTTCTTGTCACTTGTATGGGTGCAGGTGGCTTTGTTGTTGGTCTCGTGCTTCGTCTCGGGGGCAGTATGACGTTCCTGGTGGTCCTTCTGGTTCCTATCGCTGTGTCGGTGTACTTCGGGCTCTGATAGGGTTGTCTTGTCCTTCCTTTTGTGTTTTTTCAGGACCATTCTCTTATTCCAGATACTGTCGCCTCGTATCATGCAGTACTGGCAGAGTCGCTCAAGCTTGCGTTTGGTTTTGATGTTTCTTCTGCCTCATCCCGTCAGCTGTTTCATGCGTTGTTTTGCCTTCGGCCTGCTCACGCGCCTCCGGTGCCGTCCTGGTCATTGGACCGGGTGGTCTCTCTTCTCTTCCCCTCGGTTTTTGTGGCCCCTTTGGTTCAGGGCTGTTTTTCCATTTTTTTTTTTTTTTTCCTGTTGGTGTTGGCCTCTGGGAGTCGGTTCAGGGAACTTCAGGCTCTTCTCCGGCGCAGGAGTTTTTCTGCTCATTTGGTCCTGGTGGTTGTTCGGTTCATTTGCAGCAGTCTCCTTTTTTCTGGCAATGCATGGGTCTGCTGCTTTCCGGAGGGGTCCTTGGATTCTTGATGCTTGGTTGGTCGGGCTGGGGGTGCATCATGTGTTGCGTTCAGTTGCGGTTCTCTGCTGTTCTCTGCACGTCTTGACCTCTGTGGCCATGGGAAGCGTTTTGGATTGCCGGGTTCCCTTCCTTCATGTTCCGGGGTTCGAGTCTCCCGGGTCGTCTGTAGGGTCCAGCCTAAGAACTGCCGGTTCGATCGCCGGCGCAGGGGTCTGGGGCTTCCCCTTCCCCCTCCTGGGGGGGGAGGGGTTGCGCAGGTGGCAGCATGGCAACTTGATGACATCATGCAGTTTGCTGGTTATCATTTGGGGAATTCTGTCCATTTGTTCGGTTTTTGATAGCAATAATTTCACCAGAATAGGGGTTTGTTTTCGGGCGCCTACCTTTCTGGGTGCCAAACCCGAACGATGGCAGACATAGAATACTTCAAACCACACGGGGGTTTCTATAGGCCATTGCTCCTCGTGCCTCTCTGAGGGGGCCAGGTTCTGGCTCATGGTCCCCGGTGGGCAAGAACTCAATGCACTTTGATGCCAGAAAGCTAATAGTTACATATCAGCCTGGATAGCTCGGGGGAGCCTCTGTCTCTCACCCAAAAAATGGCGTTTCATTACATTCAACGTTGGTTTATTTAAACTATCTGTCACACGATACCTGCTTTTGCAGTGAAAATTAGCATATCATATGTCTTGTAGCCTTTCATCCCATTCATATATAAGCCTATGGGACTCATGTTGTATCACTTGCATTAGTTATTAATTACTTGGCTTTTGTGCTTTATATTAGTGCTTCTCAAATTTTGTCATTTACCCTCGAGCCTTTGCCTCAAAATTTAATTCACCTGCAAATAAATTTTCTTATATTTTTGGTGATTTTTGTCTTGCTCTCCCTTGAGTATAATTTTATACTCAAGTAACTCAGTTTGTCCTACGAGAAAATATTCACATCAAAATAATTTAACTCATCTTTGGGGGAATCATTTACCAAATTAAGGAGCACTGCTTTATATTACAAAATTCTTTGACTTCGCAGAGCGTGTTTACGGATCACTCACTTTTTGGCTTTGCTGATATGTCTGCCATTGTGACAAACAACTTCCTAGCGCTTTCTCTGGCTGACGTCAATCACTGCATCTGTGTGTCTTATGTTGGGTAAGGGAAACAGGGATTGATTCTGTTATTAGATTAATATGATTCCTATAATTACAAAATAATTGCAAGCTTGGGAGTTTACCTCTATCACTTTATTCATGTTCATTAACTTGCCGCCATCCACGCCTTCAGCCCGGAGTCCTACGAGTTTTGTTGTTTGTTTGTGACTCGGTTATCCAGTCTTATGCGGACTATGTGGGTACAGGCAACACGGGCGTTGCATGTTGCGTTTCGCTGGTGGCAACGCGCTAGGTTGTTTCCTCCCCGGAAACCCTGAGGCTGCTCCGTTTTCGTTGGTGTGACGGGGTTTGGGGGTGTTGGTTGCTTCGGTTTCCTTCCATGCCCCCCCCCCCTTTCCCTGTTTTTTTCCCCTGTTATGGTCATCCCTTCCTCCCTGCATCCGGATCCTTACCGTCTGTGGGTTCGGAGTCGGGACGGGGCTTTGGTGGTCTTGAGACTCAGGCGGTCTTGGGGACTTCTCCTTCTGGGGTAGCGACAAGGGCATTCGAGCCTATTCCTCCAGCCATATTGTATGAGTCTGCCAGTGGGCTCCCTTCCATAGTACTTGTCCGGCTACCTCGGCTTTTCTTGTGTGACTGAGGTTTTGGGGGGGACGGCTCGTCCCCGGGACCTGCCTTGTGGGTTCCCGGGGCTAGTGAGGGGCTGACTTCGGGGGGGGGCCTCGGGCCCCGTTGAACCCCGCCTGGGTTTTTCTACCCTCTGGCCGGGGCTTGCGGTTACGAGGAGTGGGGGTTTTCCTCCCTCCCCCCTCTCCGTACGTGTTGTTGGGAGTTGGCCCTTCCCCAGGTTCGGTTCCTTGTCCCTTGGATCCGTCGGTTCCGTCCTGTCGGTGGGTGTGTTTCTCCACCCTTCTTCTTGGGACGGACCTTCACTGTCATGTTCCCCTCTTCTCGGGGTTCTGCATGACTTTTTTGTCTCGGGTGCATCTGAGCCTTCTGTGTCTTCATGCTTTACGCTTGCTTCTATGTGTTCTCGAAAGTTCGGGAAGGTTTTTGCTTTTTCCCATATTATTGGAACGTCTGTCGTTTTCCGGTGAGGCTCCCTTCCGGTCCTTTCTAGGGCTTGTTGGTCCTCCTCTGTGCTTCTCGGTTTTCGGTCCTGTTTAATTCTTTCATGATTGTATCTTCTCTCCGTGCACTGTCCTGCGCTGCGCAGGGGTTGCCAGATTGGACGCCTTGTAGCCCGATTGGACTACTTGTAGCCACAGAAGGGCTGTGCTATGTATGTTTCACTACTTACTGCTCTTTTCGTCTCCTGTTAACAGCTGACCTGTGTACTCTGAAAAAGGATTCAATCGTTAACAGCACTATATTGTTAAGTTTTCTAGTCATTTCGTGATTTGCTTTCATCAGCTCGCGATTTCTCGTAACCCTCATCTGGCATCCCTGCCTGCGCATGCGCCGTGGTAGTTTGTTTTGATGTGGGCGGTGTGCACGTGTGCCGGTGTTCTGCGTCCTTTTCTCTCAGATACTTCGCCTCTTGCTCCTCTCAATTCTCCAGTCTGTGCCCCATAGCTACTGGGGGTGTTCTGGATTGCCGTTATGGGAAGGACGCCGGGTTTTCCCTGCGTATGGGTGTGGGGCTCCTCCTTCGCCTCTCCCCTACTCTTCTCCTACATGTGCGACTTTGCCTTCTTCCACTGGCAGTGCTCCCAACATCTTCTCGGCTAAGTTGTGTCGTGACATGTTCATGCCTACGTTTTGTAGGCGAGTTTCTGCGGTCTGGCGTATTTTTTCAGCCAGGCGCTGGTTCGTGGTTTTTGACTGCGAATATACGAACATCGGTAAACAGGTGACTGCAGCAGGCCTCTTGGGCCTTATGAGGCAGCTCATATTTATTCCCATCCAGTCCCACTCTTATGCAGGTACAACCCATGCTTGATTCCAGCACGGGGCCCCACCTCCACCAGGTTACGAGGTTCGATGATGGGGGGTGTATGTTATGGGGGTAAATATTACTGTGTCGGGATGTTGTGAGGTGACGTTTTGCTGCAGTTTTCTTTCTGTGGTTGCGTGTTGGGGATTGGTTGTGGAGTTTTGTTTGGCCCTTCCGTGCTTCTTCCTGGGGTCTTCCTTTTTTGTCTGGATTAATCGTTGGAGGGGGGTCACGGCCCCGTTTTTCATGGTCTTATCTGGGTCACTCATTCCTTGCCCGTCTTGCAGTGCCTGGCTTAGCCCTTCTGTATACAGTACATTGGTTTCTCTATGCTTCCCTTGTTGTGTTTGTGGGAGTTGAGCTCTGGCTTTTTGGTCCATCTTCTCACCTGTTTTTCGCTGATGTGCGGGGTTCCTGTGCCTGCTGGGCTCTATCCTGTCTCGGCTTGATGCTGTGTGTGGTGTCTTCCTCCCCCACATCACTTCCTCATGCGTTCCGTTTGTCTCCTACTCTGCCACTGCTTCCTTCTTTCTAAAGTTTCTCTGGCTCCTTCCACCGGTGTCCCCTGGTGTGTGTGCCCCTGGGGTCCCGTAGTCGGTCTTTCTCTACCCTATCAATTCCTTTGAGAATCTTGAATGTGGTGATCTTGTCCTCATCGCTCGTACTCCCTGGTTCGGGTACTGGTTTGGTGGCATATCTTTGCTCCTTTCATTCCGTTTGCTACACATTGTTGTGGGTTTTGTTTGTGCCTTTTGGCTTTCTTCTTGCCAGGTTTGGGTTTCTGATTTCCTGGCTTCCCTGCCTGTTGGCATTTTACGGTCTCGTGGTGTCCCTTCTCTGGAGTTTCACGTCGAAGCCGTCGTCTCCTCTATTCTGGCGGGCTCGCTGGGGTTGGGATGTTTTTCTGTACAGCAGACGTTCCATCTCCTCCTTGCTGGCTTGGGTTTCCGGCTCTGCTGGCTCCGTGGTCAAACCTGAGATCTTCCCGCGACTCCACCTCATCCTAGGCTCGATTGGCCCATGACGGGGCTGGTTTGGTTCTGCCTCGAGTCTCTCGCCTTCTTTGGTGGTTGGGTGATTTCGTTTATGGTGTCCCACCTGCGTGCCTCTTCTTGGTGGTAGTGTGGGTTTTTTGGTGGTCCATCTCTTTCCTTCTGTCCCTTTGGTAGCTGCATTTGTTGGCGTGGTCTTGTCCTTCTCTTGTGGAGGTTCGGGGCCATCATCTTGCCCCATACTGTCGCCTCGTATCCTGCGGCACTGGCGGAGCTGCTTCAGTTTGCTTTCGGTATTGGTGTTCCGTCTGTACCGTTTCGCCAGCCGTCGCGTGCGTTGTTCACCTCCGGCCTGCTCGTGCGCCACCTGAGCCGTCCTGGTCTTTGGACAGAGTGCTCTTTTTCTTCTCCATGGTATGTTGTGGCCCCTTCGGTTCAGGATTGTTTCTCGGAGGCTCTATTTCTGTTGGCATTGGCCTCAAGGGGTCGAGTCGGTGGGCCTCCTTCTCTCCTTTGGCGCAGGGGTTTTCTGCTCCTTCGGTCATGGCAATAGGTTGTTCGTCTGCAGCCGTCTCCTTCTTTTCTGGCAGTGGTTGAGACCGCTGTTTTCTGGAGGGGTCCTTCAGTTGTGAATGCTTGGTTTTCGGGCCGGGGGTGCATCATTCTTGTGTCCGGTTGTGGCCTCCCCAGTTAATTGCGTGCCTCTGCCTCTTCTGTCTGGGGACGCACTTTGGGTTGCTTCAGTTTCCTTTCTTTCTTGTTCGCGGGTGTGGGTCTCCCAGATCACCCGCTGGGTTGTTTAGGCTAGCCAGCCTGTGGTCTATCCTCGTTCCCATGACGTTTCCAGGTTTGCTGCTCTTGCTGCAAATTTTGGCAACATGTCCTGGGCTCCAGTGTGGGGATTTTAGCGGTTGAGCAGGATCCTGGCTGCTTGATATCTCGTGAACGATCCTGGGCCTAGTCGGGGCCGTGTCACTTTGGGTCGGCAGTTGCAGCCAGTTGTCTTGACTAAGCGTTGAGGAGTGAGCAGCGACCGCCTCCTGTGTTAGTCCCTTTAATTTTCCTCTGTGGGTAGTTAGCTCCAGAGAGCCGAAGGGGCTACCCCCAGAAAACCAGCATTGAATGTATTGAAACGCCAATTTCTGGGTGAGACCCGAAGGCTCTTTGGCATCCCTCCCTCCCTCCCCCCGGTCGGCGGGTTTTTCGCATGTTTTGACATCCAGCCTCAGAACTGAAGGGTGGATAGCCGGGCGGCGGTCTTGGGCTCCCCTTCCCCCTCCAGGGGAGGGGAAGCTGCGCAGATAGCGGTGCGGCAACGTGTGACATAATGCCCGTTTGCTCGATTCTTTTTGGGGGAGTTCTATCCACTTGTTTGGCTTTTGGTAGCAATTTTCACCAGGATAGGGGTTTGTTTTGGGATGCCTACCTTTCTGGGTGCCTCACCCGGTCGATGGCAGACATAGAATGCTTCCAACCACACGGGGGTTTGTATAGGCCGTTGCTCCCCGTTCCTTTCTGAGGGGGCCAGGTTCTGACTCGTGGTTCCTGGAAGGCCCCACAGAACTCCATACACATGACTGATGCCAAAGTCTGACATTAGCATATCAGCCTGGATAAGCTCCGGGGAGCCTCCGGGTCTCACCCAGAAAATGGCGTTTCATTATATTCAACGCTGGTTTTTTCCAAGGCCCTGTATTTGTTGGCATTGGCCTCTGGGGGTCGGGTCGGGGAGCTTCCTGCTCTCCTCCAGCACAGGGGTTTCTACTCTTTTGGTCCTTATGGTAGGTTTGTACGTTTGCAGCCTTCTCCGTTTTTTCTGGTGAAGACGAGACAGCTGCTATCCGGAGGGGGTCCTTGGGTTATTGATGCTTGGTTGGTTCGGCCGGGGGTGCATCGTGTGTTGTGGATCTTCAGTTACCTGCATGCCTCAGCTGTGTTGGCTGGGGATGAACTTTGGGTTGATTCGGTTTCCCTCGTTCCCTGTTCCAGGGATAGGGTCTCCCAGGTCGTCCGCAGGGTTGTTAAGTCTAGCCAGCCTGCGGTCTATTCTCGCGCCTGTGCCGTTCGGACGTTTGCCGCTTTGGGTGCCGTGTTTGGTAACATGTATTGGGCTCGTATTCGGGCGCAGGGATTTCGAGGTTGCACAGGGTCCTGGCCACCTGTTATTTTGTGAGCGTATCTGCTCCTGGCCGTTCTTGTGTTTCTTTGGGTCACTGGTTGCGGCCTGTTGTCTCGACATCGCATTGAGGAGTTTGTGGCAGCCGCCTCCGGGGTCAGCCCTCTCTTTTCCTTCTCTTTGGGTATGTAGCTCCAGGGAGCCGTAGGGGTTCCCCTCAGAAAACCAGCATTGAATGTAATGAAATGCCATTTTCTGAGTGAGCCCCAGAGGCTCCCTGGCAACCCTCCCTCCCACCGGTCAGCGTTTTTTTCGCGTTGGTTGAAGCTTAGTTTCCGAACTGGAGTGCTATGCAGCCGGTGCGGTGAGGTTCGGGGGCTCCCATCTCGGGGAGGAGAGGGCTGCGCGGATGAGCGGTGCGGCAGTAGTGTGTTACGTTTGCTTGTTTCCTTGTTTCCTTGGGATTGAAGGGAGTTCTACCTCTGTTTGATTTTGTTGTTAGTTTTTTACCATGTGGGGTTTGTTTTGTTATGCCTACCTTTCTGGGTGCCTAACCCTGGTCAATGGCAGATAAGGAAAACCCCCCAACCACAAGGGGGTTTTCCAGGGCCATTGCTTCCTGAAACCTCTCTGAAGGGGTCAGGTTCTGGCTCATGGTCCCTGGTAGGTCTGAACTCCATAGCTAATGTACCGGTCTAATATAAAATACATTAACCCAATAATCTCCAGGGAGCCTCCGGGGCTCACCCAAAAAATGGCATTTCATTACATTCAACGCTGGTTTTTTAAGAATTTCTTACTAGTCAGTATACTAGTGAATATCTAAACAGAATCTAAAAGCTAAGTACTTACGAATTTGTGACTATTGACGATCATCACAATAGGTACAGTACTCTCTAAACAGGAGGAGGGGTTGTATATTCATACTAGGCTCTTCTACAGTGCCTTCCTAGCACCTGAATGACTGTGCAGCAACTTTTGATCCATGTTGAGCCAGTGCCAAATCTTGTCCTCTCCTGACTGTCATGATCCTAGAAAGGTGCTTTTCATACGCACTCAAAGCCATGTTTCTATTTTATTTAATGCAAATTTTAATAAAAATTGAAAGAATCACAAGTGTTATTATTAATGATACTTTCACCACAATACATTTTTGTAATTTCTAACATTATCTGCATAAAACCAATTAATAGTCTCAAGTATTTCTTTGCTTAGTTATAATCTGGATAAATTAAAATAGCATCAAATCTGGGAGTTGTCTTTATATTTTTAGTAATTTCTTGCTAATAATAATCCTTCAAATTGCTGTATATGATGCCTTTAATTGGATACAGTATATATATAATCTTAAAAATTATCAGTACACTGATACTTATGCTGATATCTTTGCTTTACCAATTTTTCACCTGTAGCTGAATCTGTAACTATTCTCATTTTTATGAGAAAGATTCCTATAAGTATTAGTTTTTTAGTAGTAGCTTTGTAATAATACTGCTATAGATGTTTGAATTAAATTTAGGTTTAATGCCATTATATTATATAGGAACAGTAATGTGATTTATTTAAGCAACTTAAGCAATCTCCAAACATTTTGCTCAGGAAAGAAAATACTGTTCTGAGAGCCAACGTGGATCCAAAGAAAGTATCCGTCATACCTAATGCTTTGGACTCGCACATATTTAAGCCTGATCCATCAAAGAGACCTTCTGACAAAAGTAAGAGACATCCAGTTTTAAAATTTATTAACCCTCAAAGTGCGGTTATCATCAAAATTGTCACATCGCCTGTGCACAAAATAAAAAATAAAAAAATTAAGGTTTGTTCCTACTGAATGATACATTTGCTTACAAAAAAAGTATACAGTAAATAGAAAAAACTACCTTCTTTTGTTTGGCAAGCTTCGGGAGATTTCTGGGTGATGGGCTCAAACATAAAACCATCCACTTAGTAGGTTTTTATGTTTATTCACTTATTTGTTTACACAATATAAAGTTTGTCTTAAATACTGTAACTTGATATCTGTATACTGTACATAATGGACAAACACAGCAGTTAAGTGACTACATGCTGTGTAAAGGCCTACAATGGAATATGTACACCTGTTGCCTGTTTTGGCACCACCTCAAAGATGCGTCTTGCAACCCCCTTTTTTGGGGGAGGGGGGGGGGAGGGCTGTGATTCTGACTAGGCCAAAAATAACATGTCATCCAGGCATGGATTCAATCACTGGAGGCAAGACCAGATCATAATGTGAGGATAAATGCATGTCCCTAGTTTATGATAACCTCACTTGATAATAAGTACTGTACTGTAACTACAAAGTATTACCAGGATTTTTTATGAGGCCTGGTAAGTCCATTACATCCATATAGAGCTATTACTGTGTATTCATAATAACATCATTGGTATACTAACTCTGTAATAATGAATAACTTCAAATAACTATAACTGCATTGTCCATAAGATCAACAAATGATGAGCACACTTTGAGGGTTAATATATACATATATATATTGTATGTGAGAATTTAGTACCTAAAAGTACATGCAAGATTAACAAAATATTTAACAAGTATATACTGTACACTTAAGATGCTTTCCTGGGGTATTTAATTAAGACATACCAAGAAAAGTTCACTAGTATGTTTGGCTTATTTCATAACGCATCCACATTTGTGACAGTAGTAGTGCAGTATTGAGAACGTGCACAATGAATCACAAGAATGTGCACATCTCTTGATATAATATCAAACATGCACACCTGATCCCCTCAGGCACATGCGCTTCTGACTGGACCATGATGATAATGGATGCTGCCTTCCAAATTTCATGATTGAGATACTTTTGAGCTGATCACGGTTCCATCTGTAAAGGATGTGCTTGAAGAATTCACAGATATATGTTCGATCCCATCATACAGCTTCAATATTTGCTCTTAATAAGAAAATGTTTCTGTGGAAAACCAAGTGCTCTGCTCTAACACTAGGAGGAATAACTTTTAATTAAATGAGATGACTTGCTAGGTTACTGGGAATATTATCCTTGAATAATATAATTACTTAGCGATAACAGCCACTTGACTTGGTCATACAGTACATGCACACTCATATTGGCTGTTCCTAGCTAAGTGTCATTCAAAAATTCTGTGGTAGCACCAGCTCTTAAACTCTGACATAGGTAAATATGTAGTTTATGTAAAACAATCATTCAAATTCAAATATTTATTCAAAAGAATGTGTGTTCACAGAACATAGGAGAAATGTACAATTGTGGGGGACAGGAGTTAAACATAGTAATGAAGTCACCATTATGCAAAACATTTTGGGCAAAGCTTAAAATAATTTAGAAAAATATTTAATTAAAGATGTGAATGGGTAAACTTTTATTACTAAAAGAGAAGTAAGCTAACAAAATTGAGAAAGTTTCAGAAAAATAACGAATGAATATAATAAAAAGTTGATACAGTACTTATGATGACAATTACATCATGGAGTCATAGTTCTAGTAACAACACAATACAGTAGTTTATTTACATTAATAACAATGGAAATACTAAGGTGTAATTTAGAAAAGTAACTGAAACACAGTAAACATAGGGTAATACTGTATAGTATAATTTAAATTTAATGAGACCAACACTTAAAAATAAACACTTAGGAAGATTCTCAAGAAATCTATCTCCAACCTGGCCTTCAGTGAGCAGAGAGGAGCAGTGTACAATATTTGAATCATTAATATTATAAATTGATTAGTGCAGTAAATACAAGAAAATATACAAATAATGGTTATAATAAGTTATCCTTAGAACCATAACATTCACAGTTACAACTGTAATTACCTAAGTGTAGTTACAGGATGAGAGCTACGCTCGTGGTGTCCCGTCTACCCAGCACTCTGTCATATAACGCTTTGAAACTACTGACGGTCTTGGCCTCCACCACATTCTCACCTAACTTGTTCCAACTGTCTATCACTCTGCAAAGGTGCAAATACATGCTACTAAGTGGCTTCCAGAACTGAAGGGCAAGAGCTACGAGGAGAGGTTAGAGGCATTAAATATGCCAAAACTAGAAGACAGAAGAAAAAGAGGTGATATGATCACTACATACAAAATAGTAACAGGAATTGATAAAATCGATAGGGAAGATTTCCTGAGACCTGGAACTTTAAGAACAAGAGGTCATAGATATAAACTAGCTAAACACAGATGCCGAAGAAATATAAGAAAATTCACTTTCGCAAACAGAGTGGTAGACGGTTGGAACAAGTTAGGGGAGAAGGTGGTGGAGGCCAAGACCGTCAGTAGTTTCAAAGCGTTATATGACAAAGAGTGCTGGGAAGACGGGACACCACGAGCGTAGCTCTCATCCTGTAACTACACTTAGGTAATTACACTTAGGTAATTACTCTGTTTGTGAAAGTGAATTTTCTTATACTGTATTTCTTCGGCATCTTTGTTTAGTTAGCTTAAATCTATGACCTCTTGTTCTTGAAGTTCCAGGCCTCAGGAAATGTTCCCTATTAATTTTATCAATTCCTGTTACTATTTTGTAACGTAGTGATCATATCACCTCTTTTTCTTCTGTCTTCTAGTTTTGGCATATTTAATGTCTAACCTCTCCTCATAGCTCTTGCCCTTCAGTTTTGGGAGCCACTTTGTGGCATGTCTTTGCTCCTTTTCCAGTTTGTTGATGTGCTTCTTAAGATATGGGCACCACACAACCGCTGCACATTCTAGCTTTGGCCTAACAAAAGTCGTGAACAATTTCTTTAGTATTTCGCCATCCATGTATTTAAAAGCAATTCTGAAATTAGAAAGCATAGCATAGGCTCCTCACACAACGTTCTTTATGTGGTCCTCAGGTGATAGTTTTCTATCTAGAACCACCCCTAGATCTCTTTCTTTATCAGAATTCTTTAAAGATTTCTCACATAATTTATAGGTTGTGTGGGTCTATGTTCTCCTATTCCACATTCCATAACATGGCATTTATTTACTTTAAATTCCATTTGCCAAGTGGTGCTCCATATACTTATTTTGTCCAGGTCTTCTTGAAGGGCATGACAATCATCTAAGTTTCTTATCCTTCCTATTATCTTAGCATCATCAGCAAACATGTTCATATAATTCTGTATTCCATCTGGCAGATCATTTATATAGACAATGAACATCTCCGGTGCAAGAACTTAACCATGTGGTACTCCACTTGTAACATTTCTCCAGTCTGATACATTGCCTCCTATTACTGCCCTCATTTTTCTATCAGTTAGAAAATTTTTCATCAATGCTAGAAGCGTACCTGTCACCCCTCCAATATTTTCCAGTTTCCAGAACAACCTCTAATGTGGAACTCTGTCGAAAGTCTTTTTTTAGGTTCAGATAGATGCAGTCAACCCAACCATTCCTTTCCTGTAAAATCGCTGTGGCTCGATTATAGAAATTGAGTATATTTGTTACACAGGATCTTCCATATCGAAAACCATACTGACGATCTGATATTATATCGCTTGTCTCCAGGTGTTCTACCCATTTAGTTTTAATTATTTTTTCCAATATTTTGACTATTACACCTGTCAATGATACAGGTCTATAATTGAGGGGTATATAATTCTGTGTATACAATTCTGAACTTACCGTGTTAAGCTGCAACCTTTAGTGGTGTTTCTGAGCAATAATGGAAGTAAATATTGATCACTTGCATATGAGGTTATGTTCTTGAATGTAAAATTAATATGAAGTATTATGACATAGAACTCACTGAATCAGAAATATACGAGACAATAAAATATATGTACAGTACCATGAATCTCATTCACTACAGTTCTCAATTTATCTTAAATAATAAGTATTATTAATTTGCTTACTCTTGTACCAGTACAATAATATTCATCATAATACTGTACACAATTATGCTGAATAAAGCTGTATTTCCTCTTATCAGCATTACAATGAGGACTCTTCCTCCAACAAGTACAGAACATGATACAGTACAGCACAGCAGGAAATGTACATACAGTACTTGACACATTGATCCCATTGGTCCTCCAAAGTCATGTGACATGTAGTCATTATCACTTTTGATGTCAAAGCTTTGCTAGATACCATCTTGTTCTTCTAGAACATTTCATAATAATAATACAAGAATAACATATGACTCCTTACCCAATTAAATGTTCTCTGGCAAAGGTGTTCTTCTACTCCACAATAATGCACTAGTCAACTAATTCTGCTCCATAGGCATTAATCCATGTTGTGAAATATAAAGTGCAACTCTATCCCCCCCCTTTGTACACTCCAGATCAGTCCTCAAGTGGCTCAAATATTTTCACACCTGCAGTTCTATCTGCAAGAGTGGTGCTTTCACAATGATGAGGTGAAGGAGGGTCCTGGCACTACCTCTGAGGAGCACTAAGGAGATTTCTATATAACTGTCATAGTGAGTTTGAGGAAGGAGAAGAGTAAATGTTGAATTTAGGGGAGGAAACTGTGTTGAAAAATAACATGAGTTATGGTTTTGCTTTTTAATGTTATATTCAGTATACAATACTCAGTTAACAAAAGTTTTTGATTACATCTTGTTATGGTGTTTGTATTATTATTAGCCAATGTCTAAGTATGAATGAGATATCTCATGTTTTCAGTTAATGTCATTGTCATGAGCCGTCTACAGTACAGAAAAGGAGTAGATTTGCAGCCAGCCGTAATAAGACACATCTGTCGGCGATACCCACAGGTTTGTATTTTCTCTTTAGGATTAGCTGCAGCTGCATGAGATATCTCATGACATTACATAGCCTATTTGAAATTAATATATATTGGTAGCTTCCCTGAGATTTGAAAAGTAATAATTAATCACATCTAATATCCACAAATTTCTGATGCATGCACAAAAGTCTGCATTAAATAGATGTATTACTGTATTATTATTATTATTATTATTATTATTATTATTATTATTATTATTATTATTATTATTTATTATTATTATTATTACTGTAGTACAGTTGGCTTCATTCTTGATTTATAATTAGGTAGCCTGGGTTCAGTTCCTGGGCAGGACAGAAATGGTTGGGCACACTTCCTTTCACCTAATGGCTCAGTTCATCTAGCAGTAAATAGGTACAGTGCCCGGGAGTTAGGCAACTGTTGTAGGGTAGCATCCTGAGGAAGGGTCAATAGTTTGACCTTCGGGGACCTCGATACCAGTAAAGTATACATATACACAGGCTTCCTGTCACTGACAGTGGGAATTATTATTATTATCGTTGTTGTTATTTTTATTATTACATAATGTGATCAGTTTGAATTTTGGCACTTCTCCACATGCCTTTCCTTTTCCATATTCAGATTATACTGACAAAATTTTATATTCTTTGATTTCCGAGTTTTACTTTTCATTGACCTTCCTGCCTTCTCTTCCATTTTTTAGTAATGTATACGTTTACAGGCAACTTTTCTTCTACATGATTTTCCATATTGTCAGTAGGTACAGTCGTTGAAAGACCATCTTCAGTTATCATGAGATGTATTTGTAGTACACTATTCCTATTATGCGATACACCCTCTGAGGGGGGTAGCCACCCTCAGAGGTACAGTATTTCAATAAGTGAATTAAGTTTGAGAATTTTTCATTTGCCATTTCAATGTCATCATCATTATCATCATCATCATCATCATCCACCACCACCTCATCATCAGCATGAACATCCTCCTCATCATCATCCTCATCATCCTTATCATCCTTCTCATCTGCCTCATCATCATACTTCACATCATCCTCATCATCCTTCTATCATTATCCTCATTGTCCTCATCATCCTCATGATCCTTCTCATCGTCGTCGTCGTCCTCCTCCTCCTTCTCGTCGTCGTCCTTCTCGTCGTCATCGTCGTCGTCCTTCTTGTCGTCGTCCTTCTCGTCGTCGTCCTTCTCGTCGTCGTCGTCGTCGTCCTTCTCGTCCTCGTCCTCCTCGTCCTCGTCGTCGTCGTCCTTCTCGTCGTCGTCGTCCTTCTCGTCGTCGTCCTTCTCGTCCTCGTCGTCGTCCTTCTCGTCGTCGTCCTCGTCGTCGTCCTTCTCGTCGTCGTCCCTGTCTTGTTCTTCTTTGCCACTTTTGTGGGCTTCGGAGACATTGGCCAATGTGGGGAAAATATTCAATAAGAGTCGTATTTTATATTACTGTATAGTCTATATTGTATTTTGTTCAGGTAAACTTCATAATTGGTGGCGATGGACCTAAAAGGAGTATTCTAGAAGAAATTCGAGATGAAGTAGGAAATGAACGTCTAAAACTTGTTGGAGCTGTACCTCATGCCGAGGTTCATGGGTTACTGGTCCAGGGACACATATTTCTCAATACTTCTCTTACTGAGGCCTTCTGTATAGCAATCTGTGAAGCTGTTTGCTCTGGGTTAGTAACTGCTATTTGTTGTTAAACTATGACTATACCTAGTCCATGATTATAGCTTAAATGCTCTTGTAGATAATTTGGTAGATTATGGAGGTACAACTTTCACATTGTGCTACTGAGTTTAGAAGACTGTGTGAAAGGTTGGAAATTACTTAGTAGCTTAGACCCTATTTTCCAGCAATACTTTTCCATCTTTCCAAAACCAGTGCCTCTCCATCACATGATGAAGTAATGACTGACTACTGATAATTGGTAAATTTTTAAATTTTTAAATATATTTGTGTAATATGAATTATGAATATACAGTATATTTATTGAAATATGTGGTGTAACAAAGAGATACTGTAAATATAACAAGAGGGAAATATCAAGATTTTCTTTGTTGGTGGGAATATAGTGCACAATTATAAGTCGCAGTTTTCTGGGATTTCCCATGCGAGATCCAAGAGGCCATGCTTTCTGGGAGGAGTCCCTATGGTGGCTCCCCAAACTACTTGTCTAGTTAACTCCAAGCCCACCAGGCCTTTGTGAGTGAGTAGGACCAGAATCTGGCCCCCCCCCATCAATAGAGGCAATGGAGTCTGGGGATATGAGATCATTCCATGCAAAAAAAAAAATTGCCAGAAAGATAATGTGCCACAAAAGCAAGCAACTAACTGCTAGTTAGTTACTCGTTCATCACCAGATGGCAGCCCTGGAAACTCGGGGCTCCAGACAATTACCCACCTCCGTCATGTGACTGATGTGGTGATGGGTGTCAACAGCTCCTAGCGCTTCGTCTTCTCTTCCTGGAATTTATTTAGCTAAGTGTTGATGTTACCAGTACATAAGCTATGGAGAACAACTAAGGGCCCACCAGAAATGGGAGTTTCATATATGTAATGCTTGATTGTTATTAGTTTCTTCAGTAGCAACAGCCATCAAAACATAGTGAGCATACACTCAGATGCCAGGCCTTATAGACAGGAAAAATACTTTATCATATGACAGGTTAATACAGTATTATCTTGTATTGCAAGACTGTGCAGCAGTAACATAGATTTATTTTCCCAGCAAAAAAGAAACCAAATTTAATACTCAAGTCTTCAGTGCTTCCTCTAAGAATCAAGACAGTTGATGTCCCATCTGATTAGGATGCAGGACAAGAATCCTAATATTGAGATAATCTCCATAGTTTCAGGAAAATTGGCCAAACTCATTATATGCCGAGGAATTTTGTAAAATTACACTGTTGGCAACTGTGTTATCTTTATTTTGTCAGTCTGTGCATTTTTAAATTGTATATCCATTTTCCATTGGAAAGATTTAAACTTTTTATATCTGATAGATTGCAAGTTGTGAGTACAAATGTTGGGGGCATCCCAGAGGTTCTGCCATCTCACCTCATCCATCTGGCTCATCCAACTGTGCAAAGTGAGTACAGCCTGTTGTATATGTATGTTATCATAATCTGTTCCCTAGGTTTTGTGCAAAAAATACAATTTTATATTAATTATTTAGTTGTGCAAAGCAATAGTCATCGAAGCCGCCTGCTATCACTGTATGTATCGATGATTTCCGTGTTTTTTGTTAAGACTTCTCTGGTGATGGTCTGGTTGTGGGAAGAGATTATATGTTCCTTAACCCTTAAACTGCGCATGGCGTATATATACGCCCTGAGTAACATGTCCCATGGTGCGCATGGCGTATATATACGCCATAGGGTGCCAGGCCTGATTCAAATGGCCCGCGGCTACACGGGGTTCACAGTAGCTTCCTCAGGGCTCTTGTAAACAGATGCCATTTTAAAAAAAAATCATGGGCAATATTCTCAGGTGTGAGAGCCACAGTACTGTTGGAGCAACCAAGGCCGGCGCACGCAGCATGAGCGAACAGCATTGATGTTCAGCTTGTGACCACAGCATCGCCGAAAAATGTCAAAATAAATATATAATTGTTATTATTTAGCGATGACAATATTACAGATGACCAATGACTGTGATATAAATAACCAGGGTTGTGATAATAGCAGGATTGTTGTAATAATTAGCGCTGTGTGAGGAGTGATGCTGAGAGACGGAGGGAGACAGCATCGTTTACTGACTGTGTGGCCACCTGTTATTGTTTGCGTTCACCATACCAGGTCAGTGGTTCTCTATGGTGAACACAAATGTAGATACTTATATATAATGTGTGTATTAGTGTAATAACAGCAAAAGGATTATGCTGGGAGGAGCCATATGGGTGACGGAGGTGACGTCGTCTGCACGATTTCTCTAGCTGTTTAGAGGGTGGCCACTATGCTTTTTGGGCGCTCTACAAGCTTAGGTGTACAGTTACGGTGCATAAAACATGTAGATATTTATATATAATATGTGTATATAGGGTAATAACACTGCAAAAGGTATTGTTGGGGGAGAAAGTTTAGTGCGTGTGACCCTGAAAGAGTGAGGGAGCCGCCAGCCGCCATCTGTGTATAGCGACGACTCTGTGCCTGAACTAACTATATCAGCTTAGCTGTACAGTTGTGGTGAACAAAATATACACATACTTATATATAACGTCTGTATATAGTGTAATAACACCACAACTGGTATTGTTGGGGGAGAAAGTTTAGTGCGTGTGTTGAGGGAGTGGCAGCGAGTGGCTGGCTGGTGTGTGGCGGTAACTCCTCGTTGCTTTTCGACTCTCAATACCAACTTAGTGGTTCGTTATGGTGACCAAAACATGCCAATACTTATATATAACCTGTGTATAGAGTGTAATAGCAGCAAAACTATTTGTTTATTGTTTTATAAACATAATAATTGAATCACTAATATGCACATCATACTTTTGAGTATAGCGATTATTAACCACTTTTATTATATAAATATATTACAATACACACTATTGAATAATATTATTGCAAAAAAACTAAGAAAAAATCGGAGACATTGAAACAATTAGGTAATAATATCCTTGTGGCAACTCCCATCTGTCAACGCGGGTGACGCTGACCGGGTCTGACGACCGCTCTGTCAACGGCCACTTTTTGCCAGACTTCCTCGGTCAATTGCGCCCAAAATATGTCGCCTACGATTTTTTTTTTTTATTTTTTCCGTGCTCAGGGGACACAAATTAACATGTTTAGAAGACGAAAAAAAATTTTTGAATTTTTTTTTTCTTGCGCACAGGGGTGTAAATGTCCATATGACCCCTGAGCAGTGTAAGGGTTAATGGAGCCCTGTTGCTTATGCCTCGTTAATCGCCTGGAAAGAGATGTTGTTGTCTTGCCTATATACTGAATTCTTTGAGGCTTACAGTCCCCAAGTGGGCATTTGAAGGCATAGACGACATTGGTCTCTTTTAAAGCATTCTGCTTTGTGTCTGGAGAGTTTCTCATGAGTAGGTTGGCCGTTTTCTTGGTTTTATAGTAGATCGTCAATTGTATCTTCTGATTTTTGTCTGTAGGGATAACGTTTCTATTAACAATATCTTTCAGGACCCTTTCCTCCGTTTTATGAGCTGTGGAAAAGAAGTTCCTGTAAAATAGTCTAATAGGGGGGTACAGGTGTTGTGTTAGTTGTCTCTTCAGAGGTTGCATGGCGTTTCACCTTCCTTCTTAAGATGTCTTCAACGAAACCATTGGAGAAACCGTTGTTGACTAAGACCTGCCTTACCCTACAGAGTTCTTCATCGACTTGCTTCCATCCTGAGCTGTGGCTGAGAGCACGGTCGACATAAGCGTTAACGACACTCCTCTTGTACCTGTCTGGGCAGTCACTGTTGGCATTGAGGCACATTCCTATGTTTGTTTCCTTAGTGTAGACTGCAGTGTGGAAACCTCCGCTCCTTTCCATGACTGTTACATCTAGAAAGGGCAGCTTTCCATCCTTCTCCATCTCGTAAGTGAAACGCAACACAGAATTCCGCTCAAATGCCTCCTTCAGCTCCTGTCTGACATCAGGTACCTGTGTAAAAATGCCGTCAACATACCTGCAGTATATGGCAGTATAACATACCAGCAGTATGTATATACAGTATATATATATTTAAGCATAATGAAGTTGATTTACAAGCTTGGAAAGATCGTTTTATATTTGTTTTCATCTACCATCTGGATCAGGCTCATATCCTCCAGGGGTGGTGAGTTTATTTCTGGTCACCTCTTCTTATGGTTTTGTGGGTATCAGCTGGGCCAATTTTGCTAATTTGTTCCTTGTTTCTGGTGGATGTTCTCATGGGACCCAATTAACTCCTTCATGGTCTGGATCTCTAGGTACAGTTTCTTTCCCCATTTTCTTCAAGGGCTCCAGTTGGTGGCTCCGTGGTGATTGCTACCTGGCAATTCCACCCAATTTAATTCATTTAATCCATGCTTGCAAATCGTAAGCCTCCTGGGAACCAGAGGCCAAAATTTGACCTCTGTTTAAAGAGGCACAAGAAGCTGGGAATTGGTAAAAGTCGCATGGTTTTGTCACAGGTTTGAACCTGGTTTAGTCGTGTCTAGGATTTCGGTTAGCCCTGGTCTTGGATTTTTGGTTGGCTTCCCTCTCCCTTCCACCTGCATTCCTACACCACTCAGCCATGTGTGTCTGACTGGTGGCAGAGAGTCTCCGGATCACCCATTGTTTACTCGAGCAGCTGTATGAGAGTCTGAACTTGGCCTGCGAGATGCATCCTCTAGTTAGGGTTCAGCTGCAGTCACAAAACTGGACCGTATTTTTTGGTTCCAGAAGGTTATTATGTATGGTAATAATAGCCAGAGATGTCATCTTTGTAATTATAGGGATTTATTAGCAGAACCCAGTTCTCATGAATTTCTGTAGTGATAAATCTTATAATGTATTGTGTGTGAACCTCAGGTGAACCCTTAATCATCTGACATAGCTGCCCTCTCAAGGTAAAATAGTTATGGATGAATATTTTTGTGCATCATTCCCCACAAGTCTCCTTAATTCAAATTTGTTAAAAAGTATAATTTTTACTTAATACAGGTTTGACAGAAAAATTGGAATATGCAATTGAAATGGAGCTGAATGGGAAAAGACTTGATCCCTGGCAAATGCATGAGGAAACGAAAAATATATACTTGTGGTCAGATGTAGTACAGAGGACAGAAATCATATACAACAAAGTTCACCTGGAAGAGTCAAGTGCTGATCTCATTCAGCGTATTCCAAGGTATTTTTAATAAAATTTTCAAATTCCTTATGCAAATTTTGCTTATAATTAGATTAAAAGTATAAACAAAATGGCAGCCATATATATACAGTATTTAATTATAGTTAATGAAAAGTTTGTAAGCTTTCCTCGTATAAAATGTTTTTCTTAAATCACACGTCTCTGTAATGTTGATGCGACAATCATTTTTTATTGAAGGCTATTTTGCAGTGTTGTAGACGATGTAATGTTTTATTCTCATTATGCATCTACAAGATCTCTGTTGCTCATTCCTCTGATAATATTATTAAACACCATAGGAAAGTCTTGTTTTTGCAGGCTATGGTCATACTTGGTAAGGAAATTCTGCTTTGCCAGGGTTGGCCCTGATTAAACAGGAAAGGTTACATAACAAAAAATGTGCAAAAAAAAAGAATAATTTAATTAACCAGGCATCATCAGCATGATGATTTTAATTTTCAGGCATATTTTTCAACACATGTTAATGAGTTACTTATTCATTAGCAGTATGATAATGTGTAGGAAAGTATCTAATAGATTAGCAGTCTATTAATCTTGACTCTTACAGTCTCCGAGGTGTAGTGGTAAGACACTCGCCTGGCGTTCCGCGAGCGCTATGTCATGGGTTCATATCCTGGCCGGGAAGGATTTACTGGGCGCAATTCCTTAACTGTAGCCTCTGTTTAACGCAACAGTAAAATGTGTACTTGGATGAAAAAACGATTCTTCTCGGCAGGGATCGTATTCCAGGGACCATAGGATTAAGGACTTGCCCGAAACGCTACGCGTACTAGTGGCTGTACAAGAATGTAACAACTCTTGTATATATCTCAAAAAAAAAAAAAAAAAAAAAAAAGCAGTATGACTGCTCATGGGTGTCTGACATAACAAAAGTCACTAAATCTCCAAGATTCTTTTGTACATTCATATACCTCAACAATTTAATACCTTTCCAAGGTACAGAGTAGACTATAGAGGTTAAGGAAAACACGTAGTGGAGAACAGAGACTTAAGTCTAATCCTAGTCTTACATTGTGCCTGTCATTGGTGTACTTGTTGGGCAAGAATAAGTCTTCTTATACAGGTAATGCATCAGTCAGAACAACTTATTCTTATATAGCATCAGCTAACAGTGGTTTGATAGGACAGAACAATATGGCAACATTTGTTTTCCATTGGCACACTACCAGCTGGCACCATATGAAAAAGAACTTATTCTGTCTTATTGTTTCTCTGCTGGCTGGTGCTTTTTAAGGAACATCATATTGCTAAATACAACACTACTAAAACACTGAAATTTGATGCTATATAAAATGTGGTGTACTATACTGCCAGAATTCTGCTAGCTAACACTTTGGGTATACTGTGTACCTATTCCATATTATTCCTGAAGAAATTGCATTGGCAAAACTTTGAATACAGAACATTGAATTATCAGCTGTGTACTATATGTTTTCTTTACAATACTGTCTCCCACTGACTCCCATTTATACCAACTACTAAAGTTAATTTAAAGTTTATATAATTTGCTTTCTCACATGTACTCTATATTACATTACAGATACAAGAAATGTGGTCTTGTAGCAGGATGGTTCATGATGTTTCTTGTGACACTTCAGTTCTTTATCCTCAAGATGTGTGACAGACTATGGCCATCCAAAGTGAGATGCATTATTTTTACAGTTCAGTTTAAGCATGATGAGCATTCTAATAGCTTAAGCTTATTACAGTAGCAATGAGTACAGTGACACCTCGGCTTACGAATGCCCCTCGTTACGAACTTTTCGGGTTATGAGCCCGATTTCTTCATAAAATTCAAATTGGGTTACGCTTGCCTCGGGAAACGAAGTTTGTTGATACGCGTATGGCCGACCTAGCGCGTGGTGGCACGGCAATTGCGCCTCAGTTTACCAGTGCCTCCTGCCTAGTGACTATTGTGCCTGAATTCTTTGTTAAGAATTTCTTTTTTTTTTTTATTTTTGGCTATTTGAACATCAAAGTTGTTATTATATATCTCACCATGGGTCCCAAGAATGCCAGTGGTAAGGTTCAAGCCAAGAAAAACATGTGAGAATGACCATAGAGGAAAAACAAGATATCATTCGTAAACATGAAAATGGTACATGGGTTGTTGAACTAGCTTGGCAGTACAACAAATCTATGTCAACGATATGCACTGTAATTAGTAAGAAAAAGGACGTTATGAGTGCTAAAATGGCAAAAGGCATATCAACAATCACAAAACAAAGAACACAAACACTTGAGGATGTTGAAAAGTTATTAATCTTGATACACAACAAGGAGTTAGCAGGTGATAGCATTTCAGAGGCCATCATTTGTGAGGAAGCAAGGCAATGGCATGAAGACCTCTTAAAGAAAATCGCTGGAATGAGTGCTGCAGATAAGAAAGACTTTAAGGCAAGCAGGGGATGATTTGAGAAATTTTGAAAAAGAATTGTTTTTCATAGTGTTGTGAGGCATAGGGAGGCTGCCAGCTCTGACAAACCAGCGGCTGAAAGATTTGTTGACGAATTTAAAGATTTTGTAGAGAGTGAGGGATACCTACCACAATAAGTGTTTAATTGTGACAAAACAGGGCTTTCTGGAATGCTTAAGAGGACATACATACATTACCCAGGAGGAGAAATCATTGCCCAGGCACAAGCCTATGAAAGATAGGTTTATTCTTGTGCTGTGTGGAAATGCAAGTGGTGATTTGAAAATTAAACCCTTGCTTGTGTATCATTCTGAAAATCCAAGGGTTTTTAAAAAATATAATGTGAAGAAAAACCAAATGTGTGTGATGTAGAGGGCTAATAGTAAGGCATGTGTGACAAGGCAATTTTTTACGGAGTGGGTGAATGAGGTGGTTTGCCCTGCCATAAAAAAGATACCTGCAGGAGAAAAGTTTGCCACTCAAGGCTGTGCCTCTCCTCGACAATGCTTCTGTTCATCCTCTAGGCTTGGAAGATGCATTGTTGGATAAATTTAATTTTGTTACAATAAAGTTCCTTCCTCCTAACACCACTCTTCTAATTCAGCCTATGGCCCTGAAAATCATATTCAATTTTAAGAAACTTTATGAAAGGGCACTTTTCTGGAAATGTTTCGAAGTGACTGATTCTACACACCTCACCCTCAAAGAGTTCTGGAAAAACCATTTTAACATTTGTTCATCTTTAAACTCATTGACAATGCCTGGTAAGAAGTGACTCAAAGAACCCTGATCTCTGGCTGGAAAAAATTGTGGCCTGAATGTGTTTCAGAACTAGACTTTGCAGGATTTGAGCTTGGACCTGAAGTATCTGTTGTTGAGGAAATTGTTACTCTGGGCTGGAAATTGGGCTTGGAGTTGGATGGGGATGATGTGGAGGAGTTGGTGAAGGAACACAGTGAAAAACTGACCACCGAAGAACTCCTAGCCCTTCAAAAGGAGCAGCAATAAGAGGCAGCTGAGGAAATTTCTTCTTCAGAGGAGGAGGCAGTACAGAATGTCCCTCAACAATTAGGAAGTGGTGTAGACTGTGGGAAGAAATGCAAACTTTTGTTGAAACGACTCGCCCAGAGCAAGCTGTAGTAGGCCGTTGCATTAACCTTTTCAATGACAATATGATGCCTCACTACAGACAAGTGTTACAATGAAAGGAAAACAATCTTCAATGAATCGATTTTTAGTGAGAAAATCAAGCAGTGAGCCACAAGCAGGTCCTAGTGGTATGCAGGCAAAATGTGCCAGTGTGTGTGTAAGTCATCACTGCCTGATGTTATAATGGAAGGGGACTCCCCTTCCAAACAGTAATACCTCTCCTTCTCCACCCCCACCTCCTCACCGTCTTCCATACGCCAACAAAAGTCATCAATAAAGATAAGTAAAAATTTGTACAGTGCATACTTTAGTACTAAAAATTTGGGTGAATTAGGTATAAAATTTACTTTGAAGTTAAGGTTTTGGGGAGTGTGGAACAGATTAATTCTATTTACAATATTTCTTATGGGAAAATTCGCTTCGGTTTACGAATTTTTGGCTTACGAACCGTCTCTGGGAACGGATTAAATTCTTAAGCCGAGGTACCACTGTATTAGTGTATATTTTTATATGGTATACTGACTGTAGTATGAGGATGAAATGGGGCAATATTTTGTAACAAACATTATTATTCCTTAAGACGGTCAAGTCTTTATTACCAATATAAGCTCTGTTGAGCAAGATCAGTAGTAGAAAGTCCACTCAGAAAATAATTGTAATAATACTATGCAAAGATAAACAGCAATTTAAATCACAAAACTGAAAGCCAATATTGATCATATCATATATACTGTACTGTATATAAGTTTGCTAAAATACTGTATTTTCAAGGTTAACCTTTCAACATTAGAAAAAGCACGGTCATTAAAATATTTAAATTAAATTACCTTGGTTAAAAAAAATGAACACCAGAATAAATGAGATATGTGGCTGGAAAAGCAATTATAGATGCACAGTTCTTATTAACATCTCTTATTTTAAACAATAATGTGTACATTGTTTGAGACTTCAACTGTGAAGGAATTGACTGGACCTCATGAACAGGATTTCAGTAGCAGAAGACTTCCTGGAGGTGGTCAAAAAATTCTTCCTAACCTAATTTTTTTAATAAGCTCACTATGTAGTGATATCAATATATTGCACTTGATGCTGGTAAGCAAGGAAATTCTGATCAATGATGCAGAAATCAGGAGTGAGTTAGGAAGCAATGATTATTATGAGATTAGATTTTGGGTTGCATGAAAAAATGCTGCTAGAAATAACAATAATGTGGTCCCAGATTTCTGCAAAACACAAACTGTGTCCAGTTGAGACTATCAAACTTAAGTAGACTAGGTGAGGTGGGTTAGAAATTAGGACTTCATCTTAGAAGAGGAATGGACATCAGTTGTTCCAGCGACAATGGATGAAGTTCCAACAGTGGATGGTTTCATCTTCATTAACGGAGTTAAATTGCGGTGCGCATGAGACCTACATCACTTGTGTGTTTATTTTGAGCCAACCCAAGAATCACATGACTTCTTTTCCATATGTATACACACACAACTTCAAACATGTTCATACAAGAAGTTGCTCAAATATTCCATTGCATACTAGGTATTATTGGTTGTGAGGTGTTCATGTACAGTGTTACATAGCTGATTATACGCTACACTGCTGAAAAGTCTAGGATCTTGATGACTGGCTAAATTTGCATACTAGCTTGCTCCACTCACACTTCCTCAACTTAATACACTGACATTTCTGCCTCATGATAAATCACCTCACTCTTACACAGCCCTGAATAATGTCTCCTCACATTGAATGCTATGAATGCAAATGTTCTGTGCACATTTGGAAAGCTTCTGACCATAGTTGTATAGTGACTGCTTTCACTCATGAATCATGCCCCTATCCTCTCCTTTGTTCAGGCCTGTGATTTCTCCAAGGTCACAGGAACAGGTTGTGTTCTTGTCAGATGATAGCCTTTGCAGCAGCCTCAACACCAAGCCTCAGTATACAAACCCCTCCTCAAGCCCTTTCATCTTTACCTGCAAGCCTGTCATACTTTGGTTCTGGGAATAAGGTGTTCCTTTTTCCACTGTAACTAGCCTTTTGTTTACCATTTAAATACACAATTTATTGTTTTAATGCATTGTCCAGTTATTCATACATGACAATATCCAATATCTGGACTTACCTTTAGAGTCAGGATAGTCATGATAGTCAGGATATATTTTCCTGACTATCATGTATATGTTCTGCCTGCCAGTTTCTAATATATTTTAGAATGTCATAATCCATTTTCAATTATGTATATTTTACCTTATCATCTCTGTAATATTTTATCTATGAGATACTTTAATAATTTTGTCACTCATCTTTCCCATGCCATCAACCAGTAACAACAGCTCTTATGAACTTACAGGACATAGATATTGCAGTTGATTATCCAGTGAATACAAGAAGGCACTTTCCTGAAAAAGATAATGAAAGAAATATTAATTTTTCATTATCTAATGTTGGAAATGGAATACACTGCCATCGGTTTCTTGAAGAAGACAATTAAATGAAGATGATTATACAACAGACTCAACAGGCAACAAATTAGAATATCACTATATTTATACTAAAAGATGTAAATTTGATATGGTTTGGTTAAAGAATTTTAAATGTTCTTTAAGACAGCTGTGATGATGACTAAACTATATAACCTATAGTTAATATATACTTTTGTAGTTGTATTTCCAGTATTTTATTGAGTACACCTGGTTTGTTTAAATTATGAAGAATGGTGTGTATGTGCATATTGTACATAATAGCCAGAACAGCATAACTGGAATTAATAGGCAAGTACTGTTTTGCCTGTTATCCAGGGTTTTTGTTTATTTTCTTGTCTAAAATTTAGTCTGCAGATTATGAAATTACCTATGGATTACATTAATTACTAATTTCATTTGGCCTATCTTTAGCTTTATTTGGTATAGATAAGGATTGCAGGGCATATTTAGGTTCTGTCAGGTCACTAATTTATTTTTGGTTCTAATTTATATTTTGTCTATCATTTTTACTGTATAATAAATTCAGTAATGTATTATTAATAATCAGTGCATTAAGCTAATATATTTATAAAACTAAATTTTTCAAGATTTGTAGTAGTTAGGTTCACCTGCCTGTGACCTATTTTCCAGGCATCACCTAATGTGGGTAAATTGGTTGTTCATTGAAAAAAATGGTCAGTACACTCCCCTTACAAGTAGAAGTGCACATAGAGATCTATTTTAGAGATCATTATCCCTGACCAGCTGGTAACTAGGACCAGAAAAAGTCATCAGACTTGTATGTACAGCCAACATGGAAAGCAACAACCTATTAACCGAAAGTGTTGTTGAAAGTAACAACCTATTAAAACAGTGGCTTCAAGCCTGGAAGTTCATGCACAGTATATCAAACCTCTCAAGTATCATTGGTAGACTGACAAATAATACAGGAGAGATGGATGAACAGATGGAATATTCCTTGTCCTAAAAAATGCCTTTGACAGGATCCTACACAAAAGGCTGATGTGGAAATTGGAATACTGTACCAAGAAGATATACAAGAAAGATTATTGTAGTGGATGAGAAACATTTTAACTGATGAAAAGATGAGGATAGAGGAAGGTTATCCTACTGGAGGGAACTAGTAGGGTGACACAGGGATTGGTGCTAGCCCCAATTGTTTATAGGGTTTTCAATAAAGGTCTTTTGACCCATGTGTAATAAAGTAGTTTGAGGTATGAAATGAACCTTCATAGGAAAGTTGTATGTGTCATACCTACCACTTCTTTAATTCTAAGATGACTTTTTATAAAATTATTCAGAAGATGGAACACTACAAGCATACACTAGGTCCATACCTATACAGTGGCACATGCCAAGTCTGGACCTCCATACAATGGATCATTTTAATGAACAACATCTGCTCACCGGCTCTCCACCCTAAATTTTGTATTTGTGTGGGAAAAAAACTGTTCGGTACAGTAATTTCCTGCAGACCATATTTTTTCAACATTTTTGTTTTACCTGAGATTTGTTTAATCATCAGTGAAGGGTATTGGAGATATGAGAACTTTTATGCTGAAATTACACCTAAATTATTAATTGGAACAGGCTTCCAAGATATATCATTGGTGATCTTGTCTTGATAATACAAATGTTTTGGGCTTTGAAAAAATGGATGGGCCTAGTTTCAAAAAGATTTGTCTTGTTTAAATTTTGAGAGTTCTGAAAACCCATCTCATTATACAGTACTGTGCTGTATACTGTTTTTAAAGATTATTTACAAATGCTGTATTATAGAAAATCATAATTTAATGGAACATTAGTGTGAGGAAGTCATATAACTGGTTTTAATTTTGGAAGTGGTGAGTTTCATTCAGTGGTGGTTTAAATTTGATTAAATGGATTCAATTTAATTATTTATTGGAACTGGTAACTATGATATTTCTTAGAAGATCTTGAGCTCGAAAGTTTTTGGCATGGAAAAGTCTATGTGCCTGGTTCATATGCCACCATTGGCATATCAATGCATATGGCATTTGCATATAACCTCTTTACAGACAGATTATCATTGTAGATGTCTATCATATGATAGGATGAAATTAAATTTTAGATCCGTGAAATTTGGCCAAAGGTCTTTGGGAAAATTAAGTGTCTAAACCCTAAAGTGTGGCTATGATCAAAGGTGCCTCTGCTTGTGCAAACAAAACAAAAAAAATATATGTAAAGAGTAAGGAAAATGCAAAAAGAAAGCACAAATTTGTGCTTCATGCACATTGGGAGGTGGCCAGGAGGGGTGGGGAAGTCATTTGGTCCATGGGCTGTGGTGATGTAATATTGCTGACAAACCACGTGAAGGAGAGAGTTGTGATGAATGTGTTGACCCCTCGCAGTGTTCAAAAGAGAAATTGATAAACAGCTCCAAAGGATACCTGATCAACCAAGCAAAGATTCATACATCAGGCTATGAGCAGCCGCATCCAACAGCCTGGTTGACCAGTCCAGCAACGAGGAGGCATGGTTGAGGACCAGACCGCGGGGACAAACCCCGAAATCATCGCAAGGTAACTGCAAGGTAAGGAGGGTTTTTGTTTGCTGTTTTCCTTTAGTTTAAACAATGTGTGGAATCCCTTTTTATTTACACATATTTGGCAAAAACATGAATGCATGCTATATATATATATGCCTGCAATGTTGTGTTCACCGATATTGCATGTGAATCTAGCACAGCTCAAAGGAAGTGTCTTGCAACCTTCTCCTTTTGCTGTTATTCTGTCTGGTAATATTTTCCAGAAATAGATTCAAACACCAAATTGAGAATTAACAAGATACTCTCATTGATAGTAAGCAATTAAAAATGCTATATTTTTTTTCATTGCTCTAGATTAGCTCAATTACACCTATATACTCTTTGTATTACAGTATATAATCATATTTACATCATTTGCACAAAAACCTGGTGATATTAACTAAAATCATCAAATAATGATGTTATTACTCAAAGAAAACAACAATACCACCTGCACGTTAAGGGTTAACGATTTTAGACAAGTATAGTACAATATTACAAGAAATAGTTAATGCCATGGCTTATTTTTATTTTCATCCTGATATGAAATTTTTTTTATTTAAAAAAAATCCAGATTTCACTAAAATACAAATTGGTTCCAGAATAACATGATCTAGATGTTGGATGTTTCAATATCCAAAATATAACTGGCTAATTAGATGTCAACTGTCTAATTAGTCAGTCAGTCAGTAGATGTCAACTGTCAATTACTCAGTCTAATTATGGCAGATGATATTGGCTTTGTGTTTTGTCAGAAAATATATGTTTTGTTTACATATATTTTTTTTGTTTTGTTTGCACAAGCAGAGGCACCTTTGATCATAGCCACACTTTAGGGTTTAGACACTTAATTTTCCCAAAGACCTTCTAGCAATTTAAGAAAAGATTGACTCCTTTTATTTAAAAACCCATGGAAGTTAATGTGGAGACACAGTTACCAGAACTTCAGCTTGAACTGTGTGAACTGCAGTCTAACTCATTATTGCTTGCAAAGAAAAATGAAAATCAGTTGAGTCCCTAGAAGTTGTTCTGCAAAGATAGATTTGCCAAGCTGAGAGACTCAGCTCTCAGCTGAGTCAGCTCACAATGGCTGAGAGCTCTGTTTATGTTGATGATGGGTTGTTCTCAATCCATTCATTTTCTTTTGGAAATTATTATTTTTAATTACAAAGTATACTACAGCCCTGCTATCAGTAGGATTAACAATCTATTAGCATAGATTTGAACATTCATTTCCTGCCTCTTATTAATTTCCTTAAGATATTTACAGTACAGTATGTCCTTTGTCTTCGAGTAACGCTCTGGACTTCTTCATTGGCATCTCATTTATTTTAATCTTACATGGTTCTTCTTCCCAGGAAGGTAACATCTTTTCAGGCATCACCACACATACTGATGGAATTTGCCACTGAGCTATTTCTTGTTTTCTTATAAGAGATGCAAAAACGTGTTTTTTTTTTACCGTGTCATTGTAGAAAGAGCCTCCGGTAATCTTGATAGATATGAACGAACATTTCCTGCCCCTTATTAATTTATTCAAGATATTTATGGGATGCTGAGACATTTACTTGATGTCTAAGCATTCAGTTCCGTGATACTTTTTCAACACAAGAAAAATTTAATTCTGGATACAGATTCAGTGCTTTGGTAGGTTTTGGTACTCCAAGAATGCTTGCCATACCTTCATTTTGTATGCTTTGAGCTTTTTCATGTTGCTTAAGGAGTATGTGCATAGAATTGGTGTGGTATAGTCTATGGCAAATCATACATAATATTGTAGTATACATAATTTTAACTACAGAAATGGAAGCCCCATGACCATGATTCATGGTCTCAAGGCAACATTTACATGTTCCTACGAGCTGATCTTGCTCCTCTTTTTGTTTTCTACCCTTGCTAGAGCTAACAGAAACCCCACAGTACCAATACTGGTAATCGTATTCAAGAATTCCACCATTAAATAGGTGGACTTCATTTTCTGTTTTCTCTCCTCTTGTGCTAGGAGTACATATTTCTCTCTCTCTCCTCTCCTCTCGTGTCTCTATCTCTCTCTTCTCTCTCTCCCCTCTCTATCTCTCTACTCTCTTCCCTCTTCTCTCTCTTCCCCCCCCCCCCCCCCCCCCTCTCTCTCTCTCTCTCTCTCTCCTCTCTCTCTCTCTCTCTCTCTCTCTCTCTCTCTCTCTCTCTCTCTCTCTCTCTCTCTCTCTCTCTCTCTCTCTCTCTCTCTCTCTCTCTCTCTCTCTCTCTCTCTCTCTCTCTCTCTTCCTCTCTCTCTCTCTTTTTCCCTCTCTCTTTCTCCCTCTCTCTATTAGGTATCAAGTACAGGTTATCACTCATAGCACAAGATGGAGGATGATAAGGTAGCAAGGTTCATTGACACTAGAGATGAGCAGGTACTGGAGGAGTGCACCAAGGCACAGCTGTCCCTCTCTCTTTCTCCCTCTTTCTCCG